GCCGGTTCGCTGCCATATGCTTCAGTGTCTCCAACCAACCAGTTCTGAAGTCTTTTGGACCCCAACCGGGAAGGCGAGAATCACCTACTCTACCTGATGGCTCTGCATTTCTTCATTCCTCCACTTCATCTGCTGGCCTCCACGTGGTTTTCTCCGGCCCGGATTAGCTACAGCGAATAAAGCGCGGTGCGGCAGACGGCCACTGAGCATACACTATACGTGCCCTAGCCAGCAAAGTCTTAATGCGATGTTCCAGCAGATTTATACTTGATAGACTTCCTAACATGCGACGGCTTATCTCCACCTTGATAATCCGTTCGCTCCATCCAACGTGGGTTAACTGCGTAAACACCGATAATCGAAAACTTCTAGTCGACGGATATCTTCCACTCGCAAATTCAGGGTCTCACAACTACAAAACAGAACTAAACGAACGCTAGCTCAATATACACGACCTTTTAACTTCAGTGAAACGTCGCGTCTACGCCAAAGGTGTCAGTCCTGCGTATGCTGCTCGAGTCTTGGAAATGCGGGCAGTTATCTCCTTTGCTGCACTACAGTCATTGGTCACGCAACTACCTAAGTAGGAAAAGTAATCCACCACAACTAAATCCTGGCCATTTAGGGTCAGAGCGGGATTAGACGAAACCCAGTGCTGCAGCACTCTGAAGGTGCGAAGCACATAACGAATGGGGCCATTGCATCTGTTTATCGCTTTGCGCGTCCACCATGCATTCGAACAGACGACGTCATCGGCGTATACTAAATCGCACAGCTTTTCTTCAGGTGCCCATTGAATACCACTAAGTGCGTCCTCCAGTGTTTCGTCTACGACGAAATTGAACAGGAACGGCGAAAGAGGGCATCCTTGACAGACGCCGCTGCTGGTGACGAACGGCCTACTTAGATTGTTGTAGACCCTTACATAACCGGATGTTTGAGTACAGTGACTCTAGTAGGTTAACGTACTTCTCGGGCATTCCGTTTCGAGACTACACCTTGACGCGGTGTGATGGCCTGTGTACCTTTGTGATCCAACGAGCTACAAAGGATGGCTTTATAAAGCCAGTAGATCTTATCATGCCTGGACGGTCAATGGTTAGAGGTCAGACGAAGTTCAGTCTCCTGGTCCTCCAGGTTGGAGGTTCGCCTGGAATTTGGCGTTTCAGTCGATAAAAGCGGTGGAGAAGTAATCGATCCAAGTGAATGAGCCTCCACTTCGCCTCACTCGCTGCCTTGCGGTTAGGTTCTTGTTAGAACTAAAGGCTTTGGACGAGAGTCCTAATCGTTCTCCTGCTTAGTGGTTGGACACCCTAGCAGTACACGTCCACCAAACCCCAATGCATACACAAAATAAAAATAATTCCATGCTGCATCGGTCGTCGCGCAGGAGAATAAGGACCGCACTGCCCATTGCATCGAGCAGGGGAACATGGAGAGGGCTGGGTACAGAAGACAAACAGTTAAACAAAGGTTGGGGTATCTGAGCAGTAGCCCACTTATCGCTATCCACCCCGTTCGATGCGATGGGCAGCGTGGTCCTGATTATCCTACGCGACGACCGATGCAGTATGGAATTATTTTTATTTTGTGTATGCATGCTCTACGGTTGCGAGACCCTGAATTAGCGCACGGAAGATCTCGTCTAGAAGTCTTTGACTGCCGATGGTTACGTAGTTTGGCTGAAGTTGGATGGCGCGGACGTGTAAACAACTCAGAGGTGAGCTCTGGGGTATTTGGTAATGACTCGATGGACTGTGGGTTGTCTCATCGAACTCATATCAGCGGGCTTTGTTGGTTAGGGCATGTATTGCGCATGTCCCGCTGTTTGCTGTACCGCGCCTTATTCGAGGTAGCGGTTCCAGGTTAGAGGAAATCACGTGGAGGTCAACAGCAGGTATGGAACCGAGGCATGAAGAAATGCATAGAGTGATTAGGTGGATTTGATTGCTCCCATTTACCAGGTTTGTGTCTGGGTAGTTGGAGACACTGAAGATATGACAGCGAACCGAAGGCAGTGGCATTCTTGTCATTTCCTATCAGACCAGAATGCCTGAAAAGCAATGTATGCATCGTTAGGTTGTGCATCCTGAGTTCAATTTCTTAGTCTACTTTCAATAAGATGCAAACCATATCCATCTTGTACTTTCTCACTTTGTGTGCATTGGGAGTTGAGGAGCGATCTGCTCTCTCGCTGTACGATGAGGATTTATCACACGTGTCTTAGCAGCCTTGAAATTCGGAGTGTTCCTCAGATCCCCCGTCACTCGGTCGCTGGTTATAAATTTTGTCCTCGGGAGGCATCAGTTTCATCTACTGGTCTGGGCAACTTGGCTGTGTCCAGCCCTCATGCAAATAGTGGAATATATACATATAAGCTGTGGTTTATTTGCATTTTCACCCGATAAACCGTTTTATTTGGTGAAGCGTAATCACAACTCAGGTTCATTCACACTCCTGAATCACATTTATCTGAAGATAAAATTTGATCGCTTTTTATGATCTTTGGTTGCTTTTGAAAAACACGTCAATTGTCAACTTTGCAGTCGATTGAACCAGGTGTTCGCCATTTTGGTGGCCTAATAATGTCCGCTTTGTGGAGTTGAATCAATCCAGCACCACTTTTGGTTTCCTCTTGAGGAAGTCCGGTCTGATAAATCACGACAAGAAAATGTAGATGTCGCAGTGGTTAGGTGGACATAAGCGGTTGAAGTTCCCGTTCTCATGTCCACTCTGTGCCTGTTGGTCCTCACTAAGCATTCAGAGATTTAAATTGATTGACCATTGTTTCGCACATGTACTTGTGTCTATCAGTGTTTTCGGCGGCGGTAACACTGTCTTGAGGACCTTTACTGGCTCTCGGTCAGCTTCTTTCCCTTGGTCTACACGAGTCTTCAGTTTGCATGTGACTGTCCACGTCCCAATAAC